GATCCTAGTTGTCCTCTCTAAGTGAGTTTGTGGTTCTTGCCAACATCTCCAGGAAAAGTGTGGAGTACATGCATGGAGTGCTGCCAGCCAGGGAAGCTCGCGTGAGATTCGCTATTCAAAAATTTTACTGGGCCTTGGTCACTAGCCACGGCTGACCACTCTCTTGGTTTGCTGTCTTTAGCCGATACTGAGTGGTCCAAAGATTCACCACAAATTGCATTATTGTCCCACTCGTGGTAGTAGGACATTCTAAGACTTAAGGATCAAAAGTCCATGATCCCATGGCAACAGTCAGACTTCTTTTAATGTAAGATTAATTCTTTACTCCAAAGATGTCAAATGAGAAAGTGAATAGAAAAGCCCAGAATTTGGGGAAGTAGTCTGGCAAAAATATACACATTTTCAAGTTAGCAGCTTATAAAAGGCGTACTACATAAACTGTCACCTGTGTTACGTGCACTAACACATCTACTCATCGCTAAGAGGGGAGAGCTGATAAAAATGTAGAGACAAAATTTTTTCAATGTCAATCTGCCATTACTGTCAAAGCCATTTTAAATCTGTTATAATTGGCTCCCTTCCCTATTTTTCTAGTGTTACTGTACATTACAGAGTCCATGGCTGATGTACGTGCATGGTTAATTTGCTTTAACAGGCTTTCTGCCTGAGTGGTTGCACATGTCTGTAATCCCAGCACTTTGAGAGACTGAGAAAGGAGTGTCAAAAGCTAGAGCCCAGCCTTGACAGTTTAGCAACTTAGTCTCTGCTCAAATATAATAATAATAATAATAATAATAATAATAATAATACCTGCAAGTATAACTCAATCAGAGTCGTTGGATTCAGCTCCCAGTACTGCTTTAAAAACATGATTGTGAAACACTAAATTTTGGCTTCTTAATGAATTAGTGGCTTTTATCATCTAACCAAGAAAACAATTGATGAGACTTTGCATGCAAAAGTCATTTTTTGCATTGCTTATTTTGTACTGCAGTTTGATGTGATTCTGGGACTGCACAGAGACCACATTAATTAAAATGATAAATGGACCAGGCCATGAAGCCAGTTGGCAACAGTGTTGCACGTGTGGATGCTGAAATGGATACCTGGATATGGGAGGAAACTTGGGAGTCCTTTCCTGGGCTGGTAGAGGCTGGGCCTGCTGAAGAGTTGTGTGATTTATCTCTGGAAGAGGCTGCCAGCTGGAGTGTGCATACGTGGCTCCTTTGGATGCTCCTTAACAGCTAAATTGATGATAGCTTCTGTGAAAAGCAGCTTAGACCTCTGTCCCTGGTAAAATAAAATTTCATTTTTAACTACAGCTAAAATAAGTGAAAGCATAAAAAGGCAGGAAAAAATTAAACAAAATACAAAACAGTAATGTAGTCTTGATCAAGGAATTATAATAGAATGCTACTCATCTACCAAGGCACTCTAAGGGGATAACTATTGCAGTGTGGTGCTTTGTTGTTGTTGTTATTGTCAGAAGTGTTTTAGGAACCCATCTTTGCAGATTGTTTCTTTTTATTATCATTACACGTACTAATTACATTAAGGGGAAATTTCAATGAAAAAGTATTCAATGAAAAGTATTTTCAATGAAAAAGCTGTTTGAGAGAGTTACAATTTTACTCTGACATTAAATAATGTGACTAGGTGCCAAATTTGTTAAAGTAAATATTTCTGAAAATCATTATTTGGAAATTATTTGCATTGGCCTTTGTTTTGCTTTGTTTTTTGAGATATGGGCTCATTGGATAGTTCAGGCTGACTGGACTATCTAGCTCAGGCTGGCCTTAAACTCACAGAAAGCCTCACTCCTCAGCCTCAGAGTGCTGTGATTACAGACGTCCAGTACCAAGCCTGGCTTGGTCTTATTTTCAAGGAAATAACGTTTGCCCTTTTGTTTTATCTAATAAATATGTCCTTTTATTTCTTTATTTCTAACAAATGACTTATGACACAGAACTATTTGTAAACCAAATCAATTATTTTGAGAGATTTCATTTTTCCTAAAAAGGTCTTTTGTTTTACAAAGCATACATATGTGCATAGTTTTGATGGATCTGACTAGGATAATCAGATTAGAAACCGGCATTTTTGGACCATGGTAAGTTATAAAGGGAAAATAGAGAGAAAGATGGCAGAAGAGAGACAGCAAATACTTAGCAAGTATTGTAATTAAAACACGTTGCTGCTAGAACTCATTTCCCTTTAGATAGAAATTTCATCCACGTAAATTATACTCCTGGGTTATCATCAAAATAGGTGAGAAAATGATTCTTTGGGTGTTTCACATGCATCTGTCTTCCCGTTTGTTAACCCTCTCACATGCACACAGGGTGTCCTGATAAAACTCACACAGAGATTTCTGTCTGCGTGCTAGTGATGGGGAAGAGCGTGAAGGAGCATCCCGGGAGAAAGCACAGTGAAGACCCTAAGCACCTGGGGCAGGAGGTGATGGAAACGGGAATTAGAAATCCTGATTCTACTTTAGAATTTAGCTGCTTTCTAGGTTTCTTGTCTTGAAGTGTTGAACTATTTGTGTTTAAAAAATTGAATGTGAAAAGCATTACAGAAACTATTTGCATATAAAAAATGCTGTGGTTGATTTTATTCAAATCTGTTATGATTGATAGCATCAAGTCTAAGAGTATAGGCAACTACACTTTAGATGACAAGATTCACTAGGATACCTGTTCTGGTTTGATTATAACGTGCTTTTGAAGTTTTACACTATCTACAAAGTTTTGTTTTTATTAATATTGTTATGTACTGCTATATTCAATTATACTATGCCCGATGATATAGACAATTCTATTGAAGATATACAAGATACAACACAGTAACCATTGTAGAACACCTTGTACTGTGGTTTTATATGACTTTCTCATTTTATATTTTATAGGAATATATTTTGTTTTGTCTTGCTTTGTTTTGTTTCTCCCTCTAATACAGAAGGGATAGAAATGCATGTAGAGACTCATGCATACATAGGGCCTATAAACAGTTTATGAGAACTAATCATATAACGCATGATGAAATGAACAACCACTTTGAAGAAAAAGAGACACTACAATACCCAGTGCTGAGTCTGTAGCATCATGATGTGAAATCCAGCAATACTATTCTTCTTTGTTCAGAGTGATTTCAGCCTGTTTTGTTTTGTTTAATCTTAACATACGTGAAGGTATGGACAAGCTATTTGGAAGAGAATGAGAGACACAATGACAACCATTGTTGACTTGCCTGTTGTCTGATCTTGAAGACCTAAAACGCTTTCCTCGTCTTGTTCAGATCAGTTCTATACTATGTTGTTTCATATGAATTCTTTGTATATGAAGATATGGTCAACTCTTTGGAAGAAAACAGGGAATATGATAAATAGTGAAGATCTCTTGAGTGTCTTGCTTTGAAATTTATGTCTCTTACATTGCTTTCTTCCATTCTGTTCTCTTATGTTGTGTTCAGTTTTACCCTTTTTAAAATAAAAAACGTGTTGTGGTTAAAGCACATCTTTTGAAGTTAAAGGCAGTAAGTGCTGTTATTCCAGTTATTATACGTACTCCTGAAGCAGTGTCTTGTGCATAGTAGACGTGCATGAAGTGTATGTTAAATGAATGAATGAAGGCATATTTCCTTAACTTCTAAGTTGGCAATGACACTCCACCAGCAGCAGTTTGCATTTTATTATTGTTTTTATTTCTTACACTTCAGGTGCATTCCCCAGGGGGGTTGGCAAACTGAAACCTGCCCCATTAATGCCAGCAGGGATGTGTATGTGTGAAGCGAACAAGTAAACACGTACTGTATCTGAAGGCTCAATGAACTACACAAGCTCTTGAGAGACTTGAAAATACTTGGCAGTATTTATACTTAGAGTGAATTCTACAAATATTACTTGTGGATATTATCCTTCAGAAAATTTCTATGTTTAAGTCAGTTGAGCTTTTAAAATCCTAACTGTTGAGCTAATCTATGTAACTTCCTTTCCAATAGCAGCAGATTAATCTCTTAAAATGTTGTTTGAAATTTTGAATCTAGCTGGGTGTGGTAGCACATGCCTGTAAACCCGGCACAGAGGCAGGAGGATCTCGTCAAGAGTTCAAGGCCAATTTGGGCTACATAGTAAGAGCAAGCCCAGTCTGAACTACATAGCAAGACCCCCTTTCAAATAAATATATAAGTAAATATTGATGCTATCTAAAGCAATGCCAATATATTTTCCCAGTAATAAATTTAATAACCTAAAGTTTTAAAAACTTATACTCTTCCTGTTTTGGCCAATTTAATAATAACGATAAACTGTCACTTACTGAAGATCCAATACACGCTGGTTTCTTATTCATTTTTTATCTTTTAACTGTATAGATAGTTTTATTCTATTACTCAGAGCAATTGGAGACCTGCATGAAACTACACAAGTTGTAGATTTTGGGACTGAGATTCAAAATCTACACCAGTGTATGATAATTTACCCTCCCCCAGCCCCACACATGTATATTCGATTCTCATAGTATCTTGTGTGGTCAAAGTGGCTTTCTTCCCTGCATGCAGCTAAGGCTGGCTTTGATCATTCTGCATCTATAAGATATGCATCTTATAAGATATCTATTAGAAAAATAGAGATTTAGAATGGAAAAAGTTTATAGATAATCCAAATGAGCGATTTTAGACATTTTGACTTTGGCATTAGTATATATTCTTAATAATTATTGTGAATCACTATCATAATTTACAATATATACATTTATTTTTAATTTTAACTTATAATCTTGTGTTCATAGGTAGAAAATAAGTCTAAAGAATTTTGGGAATACTTTTTTTTTAAACAAAAATAGCATAAAATCAGGTATTTTATTGAAATAAAAATTTTAGTAGTTACACCATGAAGTCTACCTGTACTCGATCCAGAGGCTCATGAATCGTAATGAGTGTTTTATGATTCTGTGGCTCATTCTATTTTATCTTACTTTTTTTTTTGTTTCTTTAACTTGAAGGTCTCATTCGTTTGCAAGAGCTCATCAAAGCCCCATCAAGGTACAATCTTCGGCTTAAAATTCGTCAGTTGCCTGCTGACACGAAGGATGCCAAGCCTTTACTGAAGGAAATGAAACGTGGCAAGGAATTTCATGTCATCTTCGACTGCAGCCACGAAATGGCAGCAGGTATTTTAAAACAGGTAATATTAATATTTATATATTTTTATGAACTTGTATTTATTGTATGTTTTCTTAAAAATGCAATTATTTTACACAATTAAAAAATCAGAGGATTCACTTAGATGAAATTTTGTAATAGTCTGGCAATTGTTTTTGATTGTTTTAAAGGAAAAGTAGCATAAATATCAATGCTTGTCAAAGCAGATCGAATTTTGAGATAAATTTCAAATGCCTTCAGTACTCTTAGAAGCTGATGAATGACAGAGATTTCTGTTTTATAATGAAATGAAGAAAAAGCCTAAGATTCAATGATTAAATAGCTCCTCATTTTAATCAATCAGAAAAAGATACAAGAGACTGCCTGTCTTTCTGGTGTTTACGGGGTGATGCCTCTTATGTTTTATCTTACTTCTTTCAACAACAACCACAAGCAACTCTCCCACCCTAGAATAACTGCATAACCTGACCACCATGCCGTAGCAAGGAAACGGCAAGGAATTGTGGTAACACTTAATGATGTTACAGGTGTTCGTCTCAGAATACAATAACTAACATCTGTGTAAAAGAACCTCTGCCAATCAGTCAAGCACAACCATTTACAGCAGTAAAACAGCATTAGATGGGAGATGAAGCAGGAGAATGGTAAATGCAAGGCCAAGCTGAGGGATTTAATTGCTTAGTGAGATCCTACCTTAAAAACCATAGGGCTGGGGATTTAGCTCAGCAGCATAAGCGCCTGCCTGGCATGTGCGAGGTAGTGAGTTCAGTCCAGTTCCCGGTACCAAAAACAAAAATAAAAATAAAAAAAAAATTAAAAATAAGGAAAGAAAGAAAGAAAGCCAGCCAGCCAGCCAGCCTGAAAACCAGGGCAGGGAATGTGAGCTGTAGCTCACTGGGAAGCACCCTGGGTTTAATTCCCAGTTCTGCAAATCAAACAACAACAGAAAATGTTAGGTCCGAACTATTCAAACAGACTTATTAGCAAGCTAGACAGTAGGGATGTGTCCATGTCTTACCGGTAAGAGACCTGAGGCTGGGAAGTAAATGCCTAGTGGAAGGCCTTTGATTTTAAGTGCTGTGGCCTGGACTGGAACAGAGTTCTTTAGACTTTTCTTTTTGAGCTTTTTAAATGCAAATGGAAATGACATAGTGGCTTTGTGCTGATCTACGGTTTCAGACTTCTGGAGAGTTATGCAGATTCTGATGTCAGATTATATCCCATTAAATATAACTACCAACAGAAAAGGTTTCTTATAACATAGTTCGTTTATTAAGCAGATGTTTGTCCAATATTCCAATATGAATGTCAGGTTTACTATAGTGATATGCTTAATGGGATTTGAAAAATTACTCTAGTTTTGTGTTTGGATAGTAAAACATCTGAGACATGTTGTTTTCGTAATTTTTGTAAGTTTTTTTTTAGTAGTGAATAAAATGGTACAATAAATACCCAGTGATGTTTGAGTTATAATTTGTGTTTCATGTAATTCCCTCGCAGTTCTTGATCACACTTAGGAGACACAGACTTGGAAAGGACAGCTTTGTATTCTCAGAGCCATTTGCTATTTCAATAACAGAATATTGACTTCTCTAAAAATACGTAAAGGTGCAGTTTTCTTCTCTTTAAAGAACGAGGTCTGAGTTGCTTTGCTGTCCAAGAAGTGACAGTGTCTGTCACCTTAATAATAGAATTTATAATCTGCCTTTTATTGAATGTATCCATTTTTTATACTCTACTTGTTTTCTTTGTATAATCTGCTCTGTTTGGAAGATGAAGATACAACTAAAATCATATTTTAAAATATTCAACAAAATACGTAATTTCACTAGATGACAAAGGTAAACTAGATAAACCAAGGTAAAACTAGAATATACATCATGAAGAGCAGGCAGTGACATTATATACAATATGTACTCTGAGGACCTCTAATACAAGGTAACCACAAATACAGGGATATAATTTTTATGCACCTGACCCCAGGAAATATTTATTTCACTTCTGGGTGCAGGTTATTCTAGAAACCAATGCCAGAAAAAAAGCAAACAACTTCCTCTTGTAAATGCAGCTATGTATTGATGGGGAAGTTTTTATGACTTAGAAAATTTCACTGGGATATTTTGGCAATATTTAGTGTTGGAACACCAAAAACATAATATAGAAGTTGAACAGAAATAGAAATTTTTTACCTAGTAGAGCATATGTTCTAAAATAAATCTAAATTTTTGAGAATATACAATATCCTATTTCATCACATGGCACAGACTGTGGATGCTTGGGAAGAAGATCAAAATGGAATAGCATTGCTTTGGGACACGTGGAGGGGAGTCTGGAGACGCTAATAATCTGATTCTGAGATCCTTTAGCTGCTCTAACTTTTCTGTGGGCTGTGAATTTATGCTGAACTTTGATATGAGCCAAACTACTGTTTCCCAAAAACGTGGTTTTTAGCTTCTGCTGACCTCATATACAAAAGATCCCCTCTCCCAAACTACCCAGCGACTGGAAAATCAGCCAGTGTTTTCCTGACAAGAGGGCTTAACTTTTGCCAGCATCAATTGGAATTTCTGATGAACAAATGATGTGATTTCCAATTCCAAGCTGTGGTCCAAAGCTATAAATACAACTGTCACTTTTAAACAAATCTCTAAGCAGTTACTGTAGGCAATTAGCATAAAGGCTTCCCAGGTGGCTTTTCTTAGTCAGCTCAAATAAACTCTGTTCTCACTTCCAGTACCCCTCAACTCGCCTTTAGGTTAATGTTTATAATCCAAGTGCGAGAGTTAGACCCGGAGTCCAAGATTCCCCATTATCTCATGCACATTGTGTCTCAGGCTATTCACCCACAATATGAATACAACAATAAAACCTACTTCATAGGCTTGTTACGAAGCTCAGACACATCATATTCTTAATACCGGAGACATTTAGTCACAATGTGTTACTGACAGCCATACATCTGAGTCACTGTTTCTTTCAGTTATCTCTTTTACTTCTGCACCTATTGAGGTGATAAAGGATGCTAAGGACTGAGGGTATCTTCCAAGTGGTTTTAGAGATAAAAAGCTTTCTGTGTGTACCCACCAGGAACAATGGCTGCCCTCTACGAACGTGACAAGTTTTTACTTAATAAGAGAAATTTTCTCTTATTTTGATTAAGGTGATGATGAAAGCCTTACCATTTACACAGTTATTACCCATCCAAGAAGCATTATTTAGTGATTTTTATTGCTAAGCACCTCTCCTAATGCTCAAGTGTATGAAGTGGCTTTCCATTAACTAATGTTTCCTTCTTCTTTTGTGCATGTTCCAAAAAGGTTTTAAAAATCTGTCCTTGTTCAAGTGAGTCTTTCATATAAAGTGAGGAATTTTATTCTATTTAATTGGCTAGACAGACTTAGGATCGTGACACTTTTAGGTGTAAAGAGCACACGAAATGACTAGTAACTGAGGCCTCTACCTAGTAACAGAGTGTGCACAGTGAGTGGCTGGTAGAAGACTCAGAACATTCACTTTCTCATCAGTAAGGCTCATCAGTAAGTCTTTAAAAAAATACACCAGTTTTTCAATTAAAATTGTCAGTTGTTGTTCACTGATAAGCAGTTGTTTCTAAAGCATCTATTTTCAGAGGAAACAATGACATGAATACTTTCTTATCAGTGAAAGTTTGAATCTAGAAGCACTTGTTCTAAAATTGAGAGACCAAAATCAGTAAGGTCCAAGGAAGAATAAAATACGACTGAGTAATTTTCAACTGGTCTATTAATACAGACAAGTGTATTTTTAAAATTAGTTTTGGTACAAGAGTGATGATGGGCTTTTTTTCATTAATGCTAAGGAAATGTCTCAACATGCTGAAAAAAATCCTGCTGGCGGTGTACTTTGCAGCACCCCCCCCCCCCCCGCAGAATAACAGGTTCTTCAAAGTAAAATGTTTTTCCTCATCAGGATATTTGTAGTGAAGGCATTACAGTTATAAGGAACTAGGAGGTGTTAATTTCAGATTAAATTTAATGCCTCCCTTAATATGCAACACTATAAGCTTGACAATTGCAAGCATTCATCTAACAGCTTTTCTATTGAGAGAACTGTAACCAATAATCTTCTTTGCTACTGAGAAAAGATTTAATTTAACCCAATTTCGATGCAATAAGAATATTGTATGAATTCTTTAATCACTTCCTGCTATTTTATCCTGTCTGAATAACTTAATATAGATGTACTATGTGCACATTAATGTTAATATTTTATTTCTTTATTTCTCAGGCATTAGCTATGGGAATGATGACAGAATACTATCATTACATCTTCACCACTCTGGTAAGTAATTTATTAAAACAAAAGAAATGGTCTATTTCATGATGACATTTTACAGTGAAACAAATATGTTTTTGATTGAGAAGTAATATGAAGAGTGATATATTTGTAGTTATATTTTACTTTATTTTGATTAGACCCAGAAGGAATTATCAAAGAGAACTATAACTCTTGGTGGGAAGCTGATGATTTAGAGATAATACTGAAGATATCAAATCAAATATTCAATGTCTTATTTTTATATTGCTTCAGAGGATTTTTAAAATATAATATTTTAAAATTAGTTTCTGTTAAAAAATCAATTATTAGAGAAGCATAATTTCTCCTGTTGTTTACTCAGCTCTATTTGTCTTTCCAAAATCAAGTTTATTAAAGCTACCATTTGATCAGACTAGGGTTACTTTTTGTTTTAGTTGAATTTTCTAAAAGTCAGTATGTTTTAATTTGCAATTAGTAAATTGAACATTACTTTTACATATCTTCACATACCCAAAAGATATTTTTCCTTCTGATGGGAGAAAATCTGACTCTGGTGTCATATGAAATATAAACACGTATTCCCAGCTTTTTCTCTTGAAAACATTATCTTGGTTTCCTTCCTCTGTAAAATAGAACTCTGTCTTTCTCTTGCTTTCCGTTTCCAGTTATCTTCTTAAGAACTGATATATTTTTAGAGTTACACTTACACTTTTGTTCAAATGAAATCAATAAATTCTAAATGTAATATTCCTACATAATTCATACTGTAGAACATCTATACCTTAATATTTTGTCCTCCAAATTTATTGCTCTTTTAATTTCCTTTAAAGCTCTCATAATCTTTAACTATGTGGTAAAATTACTAAAATTCAATTGACTTCAATGGCTTTCTATGATAATAGCTGTTTTCTTCGACAACTAGTTGAAGAAAGTTTTCATGCAGTACTTGTATTTTACTTATAAATTCCAAATCTGGCTTTGTTCTATTTATATCAGCTCTTACCACGTGATTTTGTGTAGTCAGTGCCTAGAAATATGAATATTGAAGAGGAGTTAAGAGGCTTCCCTTGTCAATTATATTTCAGTGCTGCTGAAAACTGAACTCCTTCATAATCATAAGATTTTGAAATTGTTTTTTCCTCCCTTGGTGGCAGGAATTGAAGTCAGGGCTTTGTGTTTGCCAGGCAGGTGCTGTGCCACTGAGGCACATCCCCAGCCCAATCATATGATTCTGAGAAAATAAAAAGTATCTCTCAGTTTAAAAATTGGAGCTACTAGTTTATAGTTAGTGTAAATCCTTAGTTTATAAGTGAAGACTTTTCGTACTCTGAGTCTAATCTAACTTTCCCACTTTTTTTTACACTAATTATTCTTTATGAATTATCCCTTACAATCAAACTGATTTAGAGATTTTCCCATTTTTGTATCTCATATTTTGTGTATTTGTCATGCCTATCGAGAGTCTTTTCATTACTTAAAGGCAAATGGAATGGAGAAAATATTTTTTCTCATCTGTTATAAAGTTTATGCCTAAGATCACTATAGCAAAAGACAGTTTAACAAGGCAATTATACATCAATTTATTTAATATACAATTTATTTAACATACATTGGATGTGTTACTAGGTCCCTTAGAAAACAAGCCCCACAGAAACAGACCAATACGTTTGCTTGATGGAGAATAAACAGATGTCTAGAGATACAGCTGGACAAAAGGCGATACTGTTCCATATGAATGAGTTGGGGAGGGAGTTTAGCAAGACTTGTGCAGATTGTCTTGGCTTTCAGGTGTCGGGCGGGATCTCCCTGGCATGAGGATCTGATGGCCGAAGGGCTCACGTCAGTGCAGAACGGTGGCAGAGGGTGAGAGAAGGCCTTCCTACTTCTGCCGTTTTCTGCTTCTTTCAGCTTCCGATACTCGGGGCACCAAGCCTCCATATTTTGGGATAAAATATTCTGAGCCCCACCGCAACTCAGCACCTCTGTGCTCTACAAAGGTTTTTCTGACCATGAAAACTCCAGGTGCACGTTGCTGCTGACAGCTATTGTGCTCACATCTCTACTCTCACACCTTAGCGTGTGTTGCGAGGCACTGTTTATTTACACCTTTACCTATTTTATCTCCTTGCTTTAAATAATGGAAACCTGCAGATTTCTTATATTTTGTAGAGCAACTCACGCCAATACTGGTTGTTTTCCTCTGGATTTAATTTCTGCCATCTAGAATTCATAGCGGGGAGAGTCTGAGGCAAACTGTGGACCGACCGATGGTATTAACCTTGCCTTGGTTTTCAACATCGTGTGTGAGATCTGAGGCTAGCTGATGCCAACTACAGAGCAGCAAAGGTCACCCGACAAAGAGGGCAAAGACTTTATGTTCTCATGGGGACATTCAGCTCCCTTGATAGATTTAGCCTCTTATCTCTTGGGAGATAAGGATAGAGCAAGAACTTACACTGTATACGGACTGGAGAAGGTGAAGAGAAGCAGCGTTCCTGTGGGTTAGTTCCTGATAGGACATAAGATAAAAGAACCACAAAATTTCTACAACCATGAAGCCAGTATTGTCCGCTTACCTGGGTGTAGTTATAGTTAATTAGAAGCAATATTTAATGGTATGTTTCTAAAAGCTAGCCAATAAGCAGGTAATGAAACAACAAAAACCCAGACCAAACAAAACCAGACAACTCATCAGACAAGAAGATCATAAAAAACACACCTTTGTTAGTTTAAAGTGAAATATGGTTGCATAAAGAATAATGCTAATAACTGGAAATTTTAAAATTTCACTACCCTTAAAATGAAGATGAAAGCTTACGTAGATGTTAAATGGGAGTTGTAGGAGACCCTGTTAGATTCCATGTGATGCAATATAATATATATAAACAGACTGAGGTGTACAGAATGCACACTTGCGTTATCAAAGCGTAAGGACAGTCTGTTTGAACCTTGGTGGTTGGTGACATGAATGTCACTTGAGACACAATGCTGTTAAATATCCTAAAGGAAGGAAGAAGTGACTATCTCAATGATATATGGTTGTGAATGAACTCTTTGAATCCCAACACGAACAATTTTTATCTTTCAGGACCTCTTCGCTCTTGACGTAGAGCCCTACAGATACAGTGGTGTTAATATGACAGGGTTCAGAATATTAAATACAGAAAACACCCAAGTCTCCTCCATCATTGAAAAGTGGTCAATGGAACGGTTGCAGGCCCCCCCGAAACCCGATTCAGGTTTGCTGGATGGATTTATGACGGTATGAATAACAATTTAAAGATCGGTTTGTGTGTTTCTAAATTGTATTAGATATGATGATATTAAATCCTCTGCATGCAACCTTTAGTTTAGTTGTTCCACAGTAAAGGCAGGCTATCAGAGTTCTGTTGCAAATAATTTTGTTCATAATTTTCTAAATCAGTTTATATGACAGATTTATACTTTCACACAAGTAACTCAAAAGAAATTGCAACTATACTTCGTATATTAAAATATAGGGATTTTTCTCTAAGTTAATCAGTGATGCATGTAGAACAAATCAGAAACTGAAAAGAGGTTATTTTGATGAATAGCCTTCTCAGCATACCTAGTGATTTTATTTCTCTTAATCATGATAGCTTTTGACACCTGACTTTATATAAATGACTTACATCACACAAAAATCTCCCCTGACATTTTTCATTGTTTAAGGTGTAAGATGAACCAATGTTCACATTAGTCATTTTCAAGAACTAGTTTAAACCTGGAAATGTATTAATGCATAAGGGCGTTTTCTTACGCAGATTTAGTTCATACAAATGCTACCAATAAAAATCTAATGCAACGGACATGATTTTAAATTTTAAAATTTCCAACGACTATGTTAAAAATATATCCCTCATAAAACAGGTGAAAATGTTCACTTGTTTAATTGAAAAGACAATATTTAAAATTATTCTTTAATTAGGTATTTTATATAAAACTGGTGACTAATGTATTCTACTTTCTTTTCTCTGGTAAGTCTTTGAAAGTTGGGTACTTGACATCATACCTATTAATTTAGATTAATCAAATTCTAGTCACATTTTCTCAGTAGCTAGCAGATACTTCATAAAATCAGGTAAGTTTATATTTCAGCTATTCAAAAAAATTTATGGCTGCCTGATGTATCTTATTAAAACCATGTTTATATACTAAATTATTACTACAATTTAGAAAATAGCCCAAAATTGGCAATGTTTAAATCTCATAGGTCATTATCATCTACTTTTAAAGAGTATTAGTCTAAGTGGTAAATTTTCAAACATTTTCCCTTACACCTGGTAAAATCTTTTTCTATTATGATGGTAATGTTTCCGTAAATTGTTTCAAGAGGGCTTCAAAACATTGTAATATTGTATCTTCATAAGAGAATAATTGGCTTTTTTCCCCTTAAAAAAGATTTAAAAAAAGATTTAGTAAACTGAGTACCTTAATAGAGACAATGAAGAATAAATAGTTGCCTTTTTTTAATAGGATAACTGATAAATTAAGAGTTTGAAAATATCTTATGTCTACCTTAAATTTTAAGGAAACATTGTAAGGTAAATTTCATTCCTTTTCACATGAAGAAATAGGTGACTACTTATAGTAGCTTGGTCTTTATTTAAGGTATATTTGAAGAGTAACTATATTATAAGAGGATATATTTTAAGGAGGAACTATTTTAAAACTTAAAATGAAAACATTTTTCAAAGACATTGCCAAATTTTAAAAGAATTACAATTTAGAAAAATTGTATACATTTTATTTTGTTGATTGGAAGATGGTGAGTTAAACTTTTGAAAATTAAGACAATTTTTTTAAAACAAAATGTAAGTTGTCATTTAATTTTCATAATCATGTATGCATTTTCCTGTATTTTCTGGCTATCTTTACAACTTTTTCATTCAAAATGGGTATTTTATTATTTGTTTTTTTAAATACATTATTGAATTGTTTTCTTAAATGGCTTAGGAAAAGTAGGTTGGGAGCTGGGGATTTAGCTCAGTGGCATAAGCGCCTACCTTGCAAGTAGGTAGTCGTGAGTTCGATCCCTGATACTGATAAAAATGAAAAAGGCAAAAAAAAAAAAAAAAAAAAGAAAAGAAAAGAAAAGTAGGTTTGTAGATGTAATGACAATTTTTATGCCTTTATACTCAGATTTCCACTGATATGTTCAAGGATTAAATGTGGCAATTTATATATGAGAATCATAAAAATTGTTCAGCTTTACTTTGGTGCTAACTCTACCTGAATCCTGTATGATTTTACATGTCATGCTATAACTTATATACAATTATTGGAAAACAGGTAAATACAAGAGAAATTGAACTAATTTCTTGTCTAAGAAAGTAGAATTGCTTGAAAAATTTTACCTTCAAATTAAGGAAAAGAGCCCAGGGTGTGAGGAAGAACACACGTATGATTTCTATTTTTTAATGTATGAGCCTATTTCTCCTCTCCTCTGCCATTTGAACATGCAGATGATTTTGTGAGAATGAAGAAGTCATAGAATAAAAATGGACCAGCAGATTATGATCCTAGTTATTGAACAGTCTAAACATTGTACAAGGATCTTGAAAGTTTCAGAATTTTCAGTGCAACGCTTCTCCCTTTTAGATAGACTTAAAATACATTTTAGTGTGACCTGGAAAATGAGGAAAAAATAGAAAAATTTTTATGTAGCATAGATAATTATCCCTTTAGTTATATTTTTTGATTTAAGTCATTGTAAAATGAAAATATTTCACTAGAAAACTTACATGAAAACATTTGAAGAGTCGGCTGAAGATAATTTACCAGTGCTTTTTGAATAATTTTGTTTATCTAAAATATTTATAAATATGATACTGAACACAAGTATTTTAGAAGTAGACATGAAGTTTATCATTAAGATAAAACTTTTCTCCAAAATAAATACATGTTAAATTTGACTTTATGATTCCCTTTTGGAAAATTGATAATATATTTTTAAAGCTTTGCATTATCTAATATTACATAAATAATATGAAGTTTATACATAAAGTCATTCATTCTATAACTTAAATTCTTAATTATAAAATTCCATATGACTTGAAAAAATAAAACTGATATAAAATCTGTATAAATATTGGTATATTTATGCCTTGCATGAGTATTCTTTTTCTTTTCTATTTAATATTAAATTGCAAGCATTTTCACAAGTCATTATACATTTTAAAAAAGAAATTAATTTCCACCATGAATAGAGTCAGGAAATTAAGATGATTTTAGTCCGAAAGAAAAAAAAAATTATAGTCTGGCTCTATGGCATTGGCAGCATTCCCTTTAATCAATTCATGAGATCTCAGTGTATATATTTCTCATCTTTTCTTCCTCTTATGATTCCATAAAGAAATAGAATTATCAGCAAAGTCCCTAGTGTTTGGAGCAAGACCTGTTATTATCAATATCATAGTCATTTGCTACTGTGAAAGATCATGGTGCTTAGATTTTCTCAATATTCCTTCATGACTGAGCTATGAAAGAAACAATGAATTGGATTCATAAAAGGTTTTCTGGTTGAGTGAGCATCTTAATTGATCCCTGGGATAACTGTCCATTGGCTAAATGACTATTGAATACAATACCACTTTTCTTGGAGTTGTAGCTCCTTCTTGTATGGTCTTTGGTCTTCACATTTAAAGGTATTAGTTACCTCAGTCCTATTTCTTTTTTTTTTGTTTGTTTGTTTGGTATAAACCCAACCAAGATATCAATTCCCACAGTGCACCCAAGCCTTCCTAGTTAAAGGAAAAGCCTGCTTTCTCCTTCACACGTGATGGTGGTTTTGTTCATAACACATTTTCCCACTTTCCTCCTGCCCACGCATTGCTGTCCAGTCAGCGATGTAAACTTCCTGGACATGGGCCCTTATTACAAAACTAGCATTCATTCTCTGTTAAATGGTCACGTCCTTTCATGCTTGTTGAGGTCTGCAATCATTCTGTGAATATTTCTCAGTGTCTTTTACTGCGTTATTAGATGTAATTTCCCCTAGTGGTCTGCCAGACTGTCTTCTGTTTGCAATTATTATAGATTGAAAATTCATTTTTGAACTCATCAGTTTTATGATGATTGTATTTAGTATTGACTTATTGAGATTACAGTAATCTCAGTTAAAGAAAACCAAGTCAAGTAAAAACACTCAAAGTATGGGGCTGGGGATTTAGCTCAGTGGCATAAAGCACCTGCCTTGCAAGCAGGCAGTCCTGAGTTTGATCCCCGGTACCGATAAAAAATTAAAAAAAAAAAAAAACATTCAAAGTCAATTTTAAACAACCTAGAACTATCCTCTAAACCCTCTCCAGTGATCCTAATATTTCAGTACATGTTAATGCTAGTATCCCAGTAATCCATCTAGTGGTTTAATGACTATCAAAACTATCTTTTTTTCTGCTAATATCTAATGCTATGTATATTCATTGATAATATAGGTTTATTACACAAATTGACAACTGTCATCTGCATTGCTAGGGGGAAATAAATGTCTTTGTACTTTAAACTCTGGATATCAACTTCTATCTCCATTTCCTGTTTTCTAAACAGTCCTTAGACACTATCAATTTTACCTTATCAGTGTCTTTTTTAAACTGCATTCTTTTCTCTTTCTCTAGAGCTATACCTTAGTTAAAAACCGTGATCTTTTCCTCGACCCTTGCCAGTCTTTTTACTGAGGTCCACTCCTAAGATACCTGGCTCACCTTTCTGTGCAGTGTGATCTTTTCAGAACATTGCCCATGGGTCACTGTCAGAGGCACAGTCAGCGCTCATCTGCCAGTTCGGCAAGGGCTCTGAGGTTCTGGCTCCTACCTCCGTGGCCAGTCTGGTATTTTGCGTATTTCCTGTTCCACAAAGCCACCATCCACTGGTGATCTGCCCTTCCACATCACGCACCACCCATTATGCATAAGTAAATATGAAAATTTAACTGTTTGCTTTTGTTTGTTTTTATATCTTTTCCCCAATAGATCCTAAGCTCTTTTAAGGCAAGACATATGTCTTGTCCAGTTTGAGGCTCCTGTGCCTTGTTCAGTGTCTGGGGCAAAGTGAATGCTTGTAATGACAGAGTGACAGCCTGATAAGCAAACGTATTTGTTAACTGATTGTAATCATATTATACCAGTGTTCTGATCAGTAGGCCATCTCATTTCCCCAGTGTATTTTGGAGTGCTTTTTAATTTACTTACTCACACTTTATTATCATGAAGTGATAATTTAGAAAGTGCAATCACTTGTTAA